ATATTTCACTATATATGATTTGAAATATCTATTGATATTTCACAATCGGCTGAGTGAAATACTTTTGATCACGAGCACTTTGAAAGTTCAAACCGGGCGCTAACGTACCGCAGGTTCCAGGTCAATCAGTCAGTTAGTTTGTACAGGACAGGAGATGGCCACGGCCGGTCGAGCGTCTAGGGTTCCTTCATTAGTAGGCCACGTGTTGGTCCCTACCACTGCGAGTGTTCTACATTGTAGTTATGTGCGTTTTCTTCTCGTTCCAATCGTCTCTGCCTCTGCAAGGGAAGAGAAAGGAAAAGATATTTTCTTCCATTTTCTTCTTGTTCAGGCAAGAGACCTCAACTTTGGAAGCGCTCCCCTATTTGAAGTGGTTAGTAAATGAGAAAACCTATAAATTCTTCTTATCCCCAATCTATGCGTCTCCTTCGGGAAATAAGTTCAACCAGCGCTTATTGAGCTCCTTCTTGAAATAATGTATGCTTCCTAGCTCCACCAGCTCTTTTGTTAACTTATTCCATGAGTTGACTACCCTGTTGCTGATGTGGCTACCACAGGGGAAGAGATCAACCGCGGGTCGACTATCTGAAATGAGAGGTGTTAGCCAACAGCATCAATTCACCAGCTTCAACCAGTCAGGCGCGTATTTGGATAGTGGAAGGAAGAAGTCGGCGTAGTGGCGGAAAATGTTTATCGCACCTATCCACAATAGTGTACAACCGGAAGTCAAAGAGAGGAGGGTTGGGTCACATATATAAATAGGTCAGTGAGGGTCGAGGTCGCAGGGGGTTTACGTAACGGGTGGTTCATACTCTCAGAATCCTCTGTCTCGTCCATTTGCTCTCGAGTGATGGCGTCTGGAAACAGAGAGAGGGACACGATTATAAATGGTGAACATTCATTAAACTACCCCCTCCTGAAAGGTTTGTCCCAAGGCCTTCGGTAGTCACCTCTACTTAGTGGGCTACTGGAGGCAGTACGTTTTGATGTTTGCGTATCACTGGACGTGGTGATGCAACGGGTTTGGGCCGGTTGAAGTGGAAAATGAAGCACCCGTCGCCTGGGTCCGCGCCTGCCTTTGCTATTCTGCATGTATTGGAGCCGACGTTCTCTACTACGATGTACGCACCTACTCACTCGTGCTTGAGCTTGTCGGCATGCTGGGGACCGACGTTGGGGAGTTAAGCCAAACCTGTTCCCCAGGTTGTACTGGAGTACCGTGCGCTTTTTTGTCGTAGTACTCCTTCTGATGCCGTTGGGCGTTACCTAGGTGCACTCGAGCTAGCTGGTAGGCCGCGGTTAGAGTCTCTCGTAGCTGTAAAACGTACTCGGACGAAGTCAACATCACCTCGGCTGGTCTGGGTGTTGCAACGTTGATCGGCAACCGTATTTCCCGCCCTGTTACCATGAAGTGGGAGGATTGTTTGGTGGAAGTTTGTACAGAGGCTCGGTAGGCTAATAGGGACCACGGCAGGGCTGAATCCTAGTCTCTGGTACTCTGGCGGTTAACGAATACTTTCAGTAGCTCATTTATCGTTTGATTTACTCGTTCCACTAATCCGTTGCCTTGCGGGTGGTACGGAGTGGTTCAAATT